GTTTTTTGTTTGTTTATTAAAGATTTTTTCCTTTACTTACTGTTAATACGATTAACGAAAAATCTTATCTCAATTTTTAAATATGGGCCTTATCTAATGTCGATGGTGGGCCTTATTTGGGGCTAGGAGGTCCAAAAAAGGCCCTTTGTAATATTTTATATTTATATTAAAACATGTAGAAAAATTAACAAAACAGGCATTTTTGTGGTAGGTACACATTGTAAAACAAAAGTTCAAATTACAATTTCGATAATAAATCCAAACCTTTGCATATTTCAAAAAATATATAAAAAATCGTAAAAATTAAGTGGGCCCTATTTGGCTAAGTTACCTTAGTACGTAAAATGATTATTTTATGTACTCAGTTTCCAAAACCAGTTTTTCCGGATGAAAAACTCAATTTGGTTTGGTTACTATTGTGGCATTTTTTTTTTTAATTAATAAGAGGTGTAAATTCGTTTTTTAGGAGCTTTAACAACCCTCCGGTCTCTCGAATTTAAACTACGACCTCGATTTTTATTTTGTCTACATAAAACTTTAGTTGTCTTAATAGCCATAAAATGGTAATAATAATTAGTTTTTGTTCCAAATCTAATTTAAATTAATAGGATGTAAATGAAGAAATAAGTATATGCACTTTTCGTGATTTTTAAATTTGTAATTTAAAAATTTGTTTAGGACAAATTAAGTACAATGCTCGTTGGTGTAATGAAAGTATCTATTCCAGATACATGTTAAAATAATAAAAACGCTATTCATTTTAATAACTGCATAAAATTACACATTACATGATAAACAGTCTGTACTGTCGTTACCCGCTGCTTTGGGGTCCAACAGATCAAAGATGATGGTTTTAATGATGGATAAGAGGACAACGTTAAACTAGCTTTTATTTTGCCACCTTCTTACCGGCCACTTACATACTTTATCACTTACAATTTTTAGGGAAGCGGAAACATTTGAACATTAGACAGTCTACAAGTTTACGAAAGACGGAAATAATTTTAATATTGATTACTTTTAGTAAAGACACAAACCCAATACATTTTATGGTAAAACAACTCTCATGTATAATCATGAAAGTATTTATTATAAAAATATTTATTAATATAAGTTTGAACATCGAAAAGGTTGTTATTTAGATTAATTAGGTACATGTAATGCTTTATAGCAATTAGCATAGTTTGTGGTATCTACATCGCCCACAATCTCAGCATATGAACCCAAAAAAATTTCAATATTGCAGGACCCTTCTACAACCGCTTACACATCTTATCTGCGGCGTATCCTTTTGAATCCGTGTTATCTTCATTTGAAATTTAAATTACATTGAATCGAGTTTGTATCGGATTTGGATGAATGTTTATTCAACAAGTCTTTCGCTTTGGTAATTTGTGGATTTTCTTTACAGATGTCTGGAAAAGCAAACTAACCCAACTAACCGCCACGTATACTAACGATAACACAATGGTCTCCGGTCTTCACTTGATTTCAGCGCTTTATCGTAGGATGTAGTAAAGGGGGGCGCTGTCGTGGCGCGGGTCGGCTTTAGGATGCCGGGCGCATGATGTACCCCATGGTGCAACAACAGCAGCAGCAGCAGCAGCCCCAACAGCCACCCCAGCAGCAAAGGCAAGCGCCAGATAACGAGTCACAGGAAGAAGAGACTAACGGAATTATACATCATAGATCTCGCAGGCCATTGTATAGACGACTTTTTAGCTACGTAAGAGAAGCCTGGACCGGAGTTAAATTCGCTTTAGGTAAACAAGAGGGATAAACAATGTAAAGCACTTCACTACAAAAGGGTTAAGCGGTATGCGAGATCTGCGTTAAATATGCATCTTCCTGCTGTTACCACTTCTAACTCTCAGCTTGTAAAGATACTAAAAAGGGTTTTCGATTTTACTATACTTTGATAATCCCTTTAAAACTCTCTTTAACAAAGTTTAAGATTAGTTGGAAGTCATGTTGGTGGGCAAAGTGCTTATTAGCGTCATTAACTTCACAAAATGACTGTGCACTTTGACACCGAATTGCCTTTAACTACCAGTTAAGCACCGTCTTTTAAATATCTAATATTCAATAAAACTGATACAAACATAAATTATTCATTTTTATATTTTCATGATTTTTAAAATTTGCCGTTTTTAAAATAGAAACAAACGAGTATTCTGCTAGAGAATCGGATGCAAACAAAAAACGAAATGTTTATCAAACAAATTTTTCCTTTGTAAATACAGACTTTAGTATTCGCTTTCACATTATTTTGTACTTTTGTTTGTCAGTAATTGAACATGACAGCTAAATTGTTAAGAGCTTAAAAACTGTTGATGTGGTCAGCAAAAGAAAATACTTTATTTTTAAAATTAATTAACACTAACAAACCTTTTAACTTTATTGTTAGCGTCTATAAATATAATAAAATCTCATTCGTATTAGTAATATAAAAATAAATGTCGATATGTGTTTTTAAGCTGCTTTGTTAGTTTACTTCTCTCGGTAAAAATTGAACCGAAGTTCAAAACTTTTCAAACAAACATATGATACAAATCAAATCACATTTAAGTTTAAATGACGAAAATTTTAAACAACAGTTTACAAAACTTACAATGGCACTTAAAATTAGATTTAATTTGTTTGAATGCTTCAATATTGTCGAGTCGCAAAGTTTGGAGTTCGGAAGTATTTAATGCTTATTTTAAGGAAGAAATAGGTATGTATGTTTGTATGTACATATCGTTGGGTTACTGCAAAAACCACATAAGTCCATATGCGTTGTTTACAATAATCCCTCATTAAATGGGCAGTATTATTTGGTCACATTCAGTAACAAGTAACATTTTTATGAACTTACAATGTTTTTCTTTTAGTTTTCCTCTTTTGTCAACTGTATTTCACTATTTCTCAAAACTATTTCCCACCTACGTCTCTTTGACATTAATATATCAAATGAAAAAGTTTTTATAATGGTGAAATACATTTGACAAAAGAGGAAAACCAAAAGAAAAACACTGTATCTGATTATAGTACAACCTCTTATTCGACAATCAATCAGAAAGAAAACTCGTTTATGAACTTATCACAAATCAGTGGAAAATGGAGTTATCAGTAACCCGACTAAATAGAATTTGTTAAGTGGGCGTAATATTTTCCTTCCACCCAAGCAGCTCACGTTTATAAATTGATCGAAATATTTTTAAATTATCGGATTTTTTACGCAAACCGGCTGTATTACCAAACCATTTTTTGTGTTCTTTACATTTATAATTCAAAAAATCCCGGTAATTTTACCTCTTATTTTTAATGCAAGTGCAAAATTTAAGTGTTCTTCAAAATTTTATTTCGAGTGTAGAGCTGACCTGGTTTTAATATTAAAAAAGCAAGTGCCCTTAACCTACTTAAGCGCACGGATCTTCCCGGATTTTTGTATTTGCCACTCATTAGCAACTTTAAACGCGTACTTAAGAACACCAACAAATTTTAATTGGGTATAGAAGGAGCTTTAATTCATTTATGAATTAATCCTGCATGTAGTAGTTGGTTGATATGTAAAGCCAATCCTTTTGAAGTTGATGGTGATTAAAACTAGGAATTTTAAAAATATGTCCCTTTTGATACACATATAGAGTAATAAACGTCATCACGAGTAATATCACGTGCATGTTACGAACAATCATGTTAAAAGTGATAAGTGGAAAATAATATACTAACAAATAAACAAGGCAGTATATTTGACACAATAAAGTTAGTAATTATCGGGCAGATAATTTAGTCTCAGTACTTTTGTTAAAGAATGTAGTTTTCGTTTGAAGTAACAACAAGAGTGTTAATTTTAACGACCACCAAATGAGTATTTTTTCAGTTTTATATTACACGTTTCATAGAAATACCGTTTACACAAATTACTCGATGATTGAAATTTAAACTGCTAATTAAGTTCAACACTATATTACATCGAGATTTATATTGTGATCAAAATGATTAAATTGGACGAGGGTATAATAATAATAAAGTTTATTATAGAGAATTATTAAGGGTGTTATTCTATATTATAATGAATCCAGCTCATTAGCTGTGTCTTTAACATTTGACCTAACAAAGGAATATCAGGCTCCTCTTATTACTGCTTGTCTCACTTCCTAGGATATAATTTCTAATTTGTGAAAATAAACTTGTGTATGTACATTTTTTTGGTACTCTTTATTGACATTCAATAACTTTGGAGATTAGAGATTGTTTTTCAGAATTCGCATTTGTTGAACAAAATTTATTTTCTTCAATCGATAGCCATTTATTTTTCTTTTCTCTTTAATATGATGTGAATAATTCACATTTCGTATTCTCCAATACATATTTTATTTTCCCAATACATATTTTATTGCTCCGCTTTGACTCTTTTTTTATTTTTGGCGAAAGTGTAATGGAAAAACACGATAAAATATTGGATGTTACAGCAAAATGGTGACGTTTATCTGCTAGATTTACCGTGCAAAATTTTATCGAAAGATGTATAGACCAGAAACCATATACTTTGTCGCGGAACCTCGACATGAACCTTTATTTTGTATTCCATAACTCGACAAGAATTTAAAACAGAATTCCACAATGTGGAAGCTGGTTTCCGGTAACACGTATTTGCCTCTGGCATATTCATACAATTAGCCCGTACGTGAATATCGCACGTTTTAAGTCCTGTGAGTAATTTATTTTGATTATGAATGTCCCGCGTTGTAATTTACAAGAAACTCCGGTAATTGGGTCTAAATCAGTCCTCCTCCTCCAGGGAAAGTTCGGTGCACCTCGGCTTAGCCGGACAATTACCACTCTCCCACCTCCTCGTTCATAATTCAGGCCTGTAGCGGCCCAATCTGAGCAGTCTCATACTTAATTCATCTCGCGAGAGTCTCCTTAACGCCATGAAAATTCTGCACCTCTTTTGGGGTACTTATCCCCAACGAGCCGAAAAACCAGGCTGAGACTGACATGATATGTTTCAGACTCGGAACTCGAAGATTTAGAAACACCTCCTCGCTACCGACCGGACAGTTTGGAGGCCCTTTGCAAGGCAACAAGGTTCACACAAGCGGAAATCAAGAGGATATATCGCGGCTTCAAAGCGGAGTGTCCTACTGGTGTCGTTAAAGAAGAAACGTTTAAAATGATTTATTCGCAGTTCTTTCCACAAGGTGGTGAGTGGCGTTGCACATTTTTTGATGCCGTTCTACAGAAACACCCTTCATAAATTTTTGCGAGCAACATTACGGCCAATGCACCTCAAAGGCCTTCGCATTGTCGAAGCTTTCACGCGCAAAAACAATTTATGGATAACGTGTGCCACTTTTTCATATATCATCGGCTAAAAAGGGGCCGAAATTGGAGGGAAGTTCAAAGTTAAAATTTGTAAAGAATGATTAATTTTGCCGAGATTCGAATAAAAAGCTCGAAACATGTGTTTCGTGATAAGAAAATAAACGGGATCTGGGAGAATAATATGTGTTTTGTTTACGTTTACAGATCTGTTCTCATTCAAAACTTGGGTCTGCTTTCAAAGTATAGTAGTTCTGGCTATCGAAAACAGCAGGTATGCTTCAATAACAACAAACAAAATTAAAAGATCAAACACAGTTTTGATTTGATAGTGAGGAATTCCAATTAGTCAGTAAATGTTTAATGCTTGAAGTAAATAAAAATGAAAAAGTCATTATTATGATATCTACATTACTTATTAAACAGATAATAAATTTTTCCGTGGATTTGTAGCGTGAAATTATTTTTTTGTAATTTAACAGTTCTTTCTTACTGTAAGCATAGATTCTGTCAGCTTTCCTGTTACCGTCATCTGTCATAATTCAACGCTTCGCTTATCTCCGTCGTTTTGAATTTTCTGTATTTCCTTTGTGAGTATTTCTCCAATGTTTTTCGTAAAAAATCAAAAATTTAATTCAGTTATGAGACTTTTTAATTGAATTTGAGAGAAATTAAAAGTTAATTTCAACAAGATATCAACTCATAATAGGTATCACATTTTAATGTGAATTTAGTTTAATTCAATTTGAGTGGTATAGTTTGTAAAATAAATTCGATTAGTTGTTAAGGATTTGCAAACAGAAAATGTGGTTAACCAAATGCAGCTTTCGTAGCTGTTATAGCCATTAAAACAACAGCTATGTTCCCATACAAATTAGTCCCAACTTGTCAATTTCGTCGTTATCAAGTATGCAAATATCTCCCCTTTGTCAGAGTTTCTGCTGGTAAATTTGGTCCACATTCTTCATTTCGCATATTAAAGTTTTATAAGGTTTTAACGCAAATGGTTTCGGTAATTAAAGATTTATTGTGGCTTGACGCCTAAAAATAGTCAACTTTAAACATCACTACTCGAAACTAGTAAAATTGTAATGTCGTTTTCTCACACGATCTGCATTTATTTAGAACTTGAGTAGCTACATAAAACTTTGAAAGTTGGAAATAAGGGAACTTCTAGTTTGAAAACAAAAGTTGAATTTTGACGAATGAGAGTTTTAACCGATTGCAATGTTTATTTGTTTTTTAAAATATTTAAAAAAATAAACATTGAAATTAATGCAGATAAACACTTTTTATTGTTTTATTTCGAACCGGCTCCAAAAGTGATTTTTTTCTGGGATAGGTACTTACACATTTTACAAAATAAATAAGCTTTTATTTCAACACAACTGGTATTCAATAATTTTTATTAAAATAAAGTTTAGTAATTTTGGTACATCTTTGTGTACGTTTTCGACCGTTAACTCGAGCATAACCAGTGCATTCATAATTTCACCTCAACATCATCTGGTCTAAACATTACTTTTCAATCTTGGAACAGTTATTTAAAACTGTAACACATTAAGTGTCAAAAATTTGCTTGATCTTCTGAAATTTAATTATAATATTGTAATTTATGTATTATTTATTTATGTAATATGTTTGAAAAATACTTCTTGCTTATAAAACCTTACAATACCTTTGCGTTTGTTCAATATTTTTGTTTAAATAAACCGTTTCAGAATGTTATGTATTTAAAGATGTTAAGTTTCGTTAGAAAGTTAGAAACTTTATTGAAAACTAAACTTTTAATTAAGCATGAAGAGAATTTACGATGGAGTACTGAAATATTGGAATATTTAGAAAAGTATTTGTAAAACACAAACTTTGCCTGACGTTTTTAAAACAACAAACAAGAAATTTCGCATCAACGCTATAGAAAATAAAAATATTTTTTATGTAATGAACACAGTTTTATCCAATTCGGGTTATTTTTAACTAAATTGAACATTATTATTTCATACGGCTTTGTTGGAAAATGGTTACTACACATTCTAATGTATTTAAAACTAGTATTTTTCACACATGGAAAATAATGATTTGTTTTGAGTAAAATCAATAATAAAAAACTATATGTTATTACTACATTTTTATTCTACGACATTCAAAAAAACAGAAATAAATGAATTTATAAATTAATACACCCCTTTGACATAAAATAAAAAATGTAAAATTTACTACTTTTACATTATTTCGCATTTTGTCACATATACATATAAAAAGAAAGTACAATTACTACATGAAAAAATGCATTTTGTATACATATAAAAAGAAATTACAATTACTATTTGAAAAAATGCTGCATTGCAACGGTGTACAGGCACAAAACGCTCCATTTTAACATTTTTTAAAACATTTCAGTAATGAAATTTCCCACATCCTATTAATCCATCGAGAATTACAGCTCGCAGTAAAATATGTATAAAATAAAGCAAGTAATATCGGCTTGAAAATGGTGTAAAAGTTAACTCATATTTGACAGGGAAAAGACGGTAATTTATCAGACAGTTCTGTCTCAGAGAAAATTTTAATGATCCATAGAATAATGAAACTTGATTTTCTTTATCGCCCTAACAAAGTATAAAAATGAAAGGTAGTTATAATTTCTTGTAGGAATTAAATTTCTAAAGTTAAGAAGAAGAAAATTAACTAATTTAATCAACTCGGTGTGTAGATTTTTGTAGGCTATTGTTCAAAGCCCCAAACCTAAATCATGCGAGTTTGTCTGATTTATCTGTCACTTTTACGATTCATGTATGCCAAAACGTTATATTTATAGAAGGTTTTATTGATCAATCTTGCCAACACAATGACACTAACTCATCATTGTTTTCGTTTCTGCTGCTTTGATTTGACGATAAAACTTTGATATTGCTAAAGTTGCCATTACAACGATGACCGATGCTTTTCATGTGAATAACTTCTGCAATTAGAAATGCAATCTCGTCGGTTAATAGTGTGTAAACAAATTACTCTCATAGCATCACACTGTTTATTTCCTCTGCTTCTTGTGTTTAAACATATGCGTTCGTGGTCTGTGACTTTGAGCAAAGTTGTATATGTTTTCGATTTGCACCGTTGAAAAATACACCCATATCATAAATTCTGATGAAAATTACCTCGTATATAAATATTTGCAAAAACTCGTTTGTTTGCTTAAGGTGCACAGCAATTTTTTTAGTTGCTGATTGAGCAAATGTATTGCTCGATCAAACAAAACTTAAATTTAGAAAAAAAACTTCAAATATTCTTGTCGCTAACATTTAGATAAATTTGGAACGTTTTCAAAGATAGAGCGAGACCCCGACTAAAGAGATCGTCGTGAGTGGCATCATAAAACATGTAGATAGAGCTTTATACTGACCACCAGCCACGGTTGACAAATTGACCTCCGGATCATTTGTCACCGCCCATAATACAATTCTTTAAAAGAGCAACGTTCTGCATACAAATTGATGTCTTATCACTGTTATCAGATGGATAGTCCGCAGACGAAATAATGATCTATCAATCTGGGACTGGTTTATTATTTCTCGCCTAGAAGTTGATTAAAAATAGCTGTTTAGGTTGGCAATTGATTGATTCCGATTTCAATCTCTTGCTCGATGTGTGCTGGTGATATATAGTTCGAACATTAATCAAGTTGACCATTATTCTATCTGTTCTATTTTAGAATGTCACACTTAATTCCAACAAAGGTCACATCAAAAAGGCGTTGCCGCATTAAAAAAATGTTTACTTTTAATAGCAAATACAAACAACATAAACTGTTGCAACAAGCTGATTGATCATGGATTCCATAAAAAATTCATATTTCATTAAATACTAACTATTTTGTATTCTTTTTAGGTTCATATTTATTTTAGCTTGAAACTTAAATATATTTAAAACTTGTTTTTTTTTAATCCAGCATGTTTTAAGAATGTAGTCAAAAATTAAAAAAAATAATACAGCAGCCTTTTACAATATTTTTTTTATATTCTTTACAATATATTTATGTATTAAACATTGTTTAATATTGTATATTATTTTTATATCAAAATAGTTCTTTAAATCGACGCAATTACTTAAACATTTAAATCCAACGAAATGACAGACAAAATGAGCAAAAACGGAACTAATTAATGTTCAGGAACAGCAACTAATTAAAAATACTTTCATTGTCCAATGAGTTTCTTTGATTTAACATCTGTCAAGAAGACATTAGAACATTTAATTGATGAAAGCTTTACGAGTATTTGGAATAACCGTATATATGAAACTAAGATGTATATGTATATTCTTTTATACAAATGTGTACAACAAAAACTGTTTGACTTTGTTGATTTTGAAATCAAAAATTAAAAAGCAAATTAAAATTTATTGGTAGTAGATTTAGATTTTGGAAACATGTGGGACCATACTTTTCTTTAAGTGAGCTTTATTTCGTCGCATTATAACACAATGTTTTGTCATTTGGGTGTATTTTGGGAAGAAGTTTTCGTGCGTCTTACGCTCTTTATATTATTTTTATTCTTTCTACGATACTAGTAATAAAGTTGTAAAAACCCTATTCTCGTCGTATGTGCAAGCATTTTATAGGAGTCGAATTCGTACACAGCACTATTTATAAATCTTCTCGAAGAAAATAACCGTCGAGGACAATTCAAACGAAACATTTATATCATTCAAACAACAAAATTAGAACACGAAGGAGAATTAATGTGAATCTAAAAACGACAATGGCCAATAAAGTTTTGTTTGCTTCTATCATTCATGTCATTGCATTTCAGAATGTAAAATATTTATGCATCGATAATAAAAAGTACATTATAAATGCTCACACAGATTCTTCTACCATCATCGTAAAACTGTCGACACTGTTTTACTTCTTTGTTGTCTCGTTGTTACACAGTTGCAGATAATGACCTTTTCTATCTAGATAAGATTTTCGTTTTACGTTTGTTCACATTGTTTTAAGTGCCTCCGTTCTCTTATATCATTCTGGAAAAAAACTTTGCACAAAGTCGTGAAACCTTATGACAAATTGCAACACTATTTATTCTAATGCGCTCTATTCTCTCAAAAAAATCGCGTGACATTATCTTCCTGCGAAAGTTGAAATACATTTTTATTAAATTTTTTGGCAAATAAAAGAGTTTTCGAGATTGGGACAATTTTCTAGAAGTCAGGTTCTTTATCGATTAACTTTTTTCGATGAACAGAATATGTAAAATGTAAAAGAAAATGAAAAATATACAATAACGTTCCTCCGTTACACAAATATTGTCTCTCCTTTTATCAATGAACAACGATGGATGACATTCTGCTCGGCAGCCTTATTAACAATTCTTTTCCAAATATCTGAGGGTCTATAAATAAAGGGAAAAATTGGAAAAATCGTTCGCGTACATCCTAACTATCTATTCCGTTATTTTTGTTTCATTAAATCGCTAAAAAATGTTGAAATAATGAGAATGTGTTTTGCTTTTTTATGAAAACAGTGAACAGACCCGGCGCCTCCACCCAAAGTGAATTTAGAGAAAATGTGAAACAGACACAAAGAAAACAAACTGAAAAAGCTTTACTTTATTAGAATGAATATTTGTTTTGTTGAGCTGACAAAAATGCGCGTAAAGGTGTTTTCGTTAAAAAAAATTGAAAAAACAATTGGGATCCCACATTTTGTAATCAGTTTTATGACACGTTTTAGTATTCCATGCGCAATTTGCATACATTTTTTGTTATCCCACTAGTGCGATAATAAAGTTAAGTCGTTAAATACGTGTCAAGGCCCGGTTGAATGGTGACATTTCAATTTTATGTCTAAAGTTCTAATTAATTGATTTCTAATTGGGAGTGATAACCTGGTCAACGTTATTAATTCGGGCGTGTGAGTTGCGTGTAAAAAAAGTGATTAAAGTCGCACCTTAGTTTCCAAAGCATTCTAATAATATCTTGTGAATATTTATTGTGTAACGTGTAATATATTTTGATGGTGTTCTAAGCTGAAATATATTACCCACCTTTTGCAGTGTATGCTTACACTTTACATATTCCGGTATCCAGCTGCGTAACATCAAGAACCCAACACCACATAATAACAATCAACAATTTTATGTTATCGCATTATTCTTCTCGCACCGTCTAATAGACCAACATTTATTTAATGTGTTCTATTGTCCGCTTGGTTCCATTAAATTAGTTTGCAGTTTGACACTAAATTAGTTTTTGTCAGAGAAAATAATGGAAAAGTTCTCCCAACTCAGATGAAGAATGAAATCGAATACTTTAAAATGCTGCAATTTATTGATAGGGACAAATAACATGAAAACACTTTTAGAAGCTTATTTGTCAATTAAAACCGCTCGCAAAATTATATAGCGAAATCATTTATGAAAATTTTCGATTAATATAAGTTCAGCGGAACTAAAGTGGCCGTAAAAGTTTTATAATGTTTTTACTTTATTTATGCCGCAAATTTAAACAGATTCATCTAAGGTCATGTTATATGCATATACGAGCTTTTTCGCTCTCTCCATTTAACACATATGAGCACACTTGGCCTGTTTATGTGAACCGTTTTATTAAGATCATTTATTTTTATCATCCTTTTGTTCGACAACGTCAATAAAATTTACGCGTTTTAAAAACAAAACTTATTGACGTTAGAGAAACGGAAGTTTTTCAAATGTTTGTTTTCCAAAATTTCCAATTGTCTTGCTGAATTGATTATTATTGTCAACACTTTCTTGCTTTGTACGTCTCTAACTCGATTACCAAACGTGAAAATTGCCACTGCCTACAACCTCTGTAAAGAGAAATGTGAGTTTGAGGGGCTTCTCTGGCTTCAGGTTTACTTTGAACAAAGAACAAATATTTGAACGAATTTACTTAATTAAATAACTTCATTATGATCATTATGGGCAAACACGATAAGACGCCCATACTCAACAAGTTCTGTTTCGCACGCAATTGCGTGATAAGATATAAAATTCTGGGCTATTTTATGAAGGATACAATACGCGGTGGTTTCTCAATCATATAATTACTTAGTTAAGGTCCAATTTTATTTTTAATCAATTAAAATTATTAGTTTTTTTTTAATTTGCCACAGTGTGGGAGTAAATAATTGTTTACGATCTTGATAACATCGTGCTACAAAAGACAGTTGGGGAGACTAAGAAAGTGTCAGATGTACTGGATTAAAAAAAATTTTAAAGAAAAGCTTAAATTAAAAAAAATGTCAACCGAGACTTTTTTAAAACATCATGTTGCAAAAGACAGTGGGAGAGACTAAGAAAGTGTCTAGAAATTCCGGTTTAAACAATACCTAGATTTTCAAAGAAAACGTTTAAAAATTTCTCAAACAGAAATGCTTAAATTTAAAAAATGTAAAATATCGTGTTACAAAAGACAATTGGTTAACTAAGAAAATGTCAAGAAATACGGGCTTAAAAAATTTCTGAACTTGTAAAAAAACATTTAAAAATTTCTTAAAGAAATGCTTAAATTAAAGAAATGTCAATCGAGACTTAAAAATATATCTTGATAAAAAATTTAATTCAATTGGGGTTGTCAATCAAAGTACATTTTTTAATCGTATAATGTTAAACTACTTTTAAAAATAAACTCTTATTTATGCACAAATTTGTCGAGAAAAAATGTGAGGGCTATTAATAGGAGTCTAAATCAGGCCTGCTTTACATTGTCAGTATTTTTATCTAAATTTATTACTCTCCGTAACCGCGGAAGAAGGATTTTTATTCAAATGAAAATTATTAAATTAGCATGAGCCAGTATTTTTAGACAATTTATGTTGCAGCAAGAAAACGAATTTTAAACTTTAGACTCGCTTTTTTAATTGGACGAAACACAAACTTTTAAGTAAGTTAATAAAAAAATCTGCCATCGTTAAAAGGTTGGAAGCAAATTCTGCATCTTTAATGGGCGTATTTGCTTTAATTACTTATTTTGAAAAGCAGTAGTTCTGTTGATTTGAAAATTTGAACTTTACAAAGGAATCACTGTCAGGTGGTGATTTAGTCGAGTTGTAAACACGCCTCTGTCGCCAGATTGTTGTAATCTGTCGAAATGGCTCCTATTAATTCTAAAATTTGTGGCATCTGGTACCAAATTAATAACCATTATCAAGGCTATTACCCTAACGTTCTTGATTATGTCTTGAAAATGAAATATTCAAAGGCAAGTTTACTCCCACCGTGAAAACATTAAATTTTACATAATTTGTCCTAACATAACTGATTTATACCCCATTTAGACCCTCTTATCTTCACATTACAAATAAAGTGGCAGAAGTATGATGACTTTCCACGTCGGGGCCTTATTCTGTTTAATATTCAAATAACGAAAATTTAAGCTTATCTTTTCATGTGGTACACGTTATCCATATTTAAATTATAAATGAAATTCGCAATCAAGCTATTCGGCCAATTATTGTTTGCCAAAGCTGTCATTAATTAAGCTGCAATCCATTATTCTGTTTGTGCAGAAGTCCAATCTACTTAACTGATCCAGGGAATTTTTGTACGCGTTTATTTAATAGAAAAAATGTTTGCGTTTTTGATTATTAAATAATTGATAATTTTGTGGTTTATTTTCAGCCAACACCAGCCAATATGCTCATTACGTGTTCAATACTCTGGATCAGCAACACAGCGGATTAATTAGCTTTGAGGTAAAGTGAACTAGCTTTAACCTGAGCTTTTATCAAATGACATCAAATAACGGATGTTTAACTTTGACCTTACACACACGTATCCCTTCACATTTTTTTAAATGCTGCAACTAAGTAGTTTACTCCAAATTGGGAAATAATTACAAACTAAAACTTACTCATGCGAATTGATCTTTGAAGATTCGCTATAAGCAACTTTAAAGCAAATTAATTACTTTTTTAGCTTTTGCCATACGCTAAACATGTGAGTAGTTGTTTTTTTTTTGTTTAAAAAAATGAATGAAAATCAATTTAAAAAAGAAAATGTGTTTTTGTCACAAAAAATCAATTTTGAAACTAATTACTTTTACAGGAAAATGCATTTGAAACCTGTGTTTATATTGCACCTCCGGCGAACACCACCATAAACTGCATTTTAAACCATATTATTCTTTTACGACAAGAAAATTCGAAACTCCATCTCGTTTGAAATTTTATCTTTCCAATTCTCTATAAAAGTGTGTTTTCATAATGCATTTAACAACTCAGCTCTGGGTGTTATTTCACAAAAGCTACATCAACAGTTAAGATTCACCCTGATGTATAATTCAAAATGACTTTAAAGGAGTTACAGTAAATTGCACCGCTGCAATATTTACCAGAATAACATCCATTGTGGGCAGTAGATTGCTACTGAGTTATAACATTGATTTAAATTTTCTATATTTCGATCCGGTGGAATGTAACCGAGTTTCGAAAAGCTAAAAAACTTTGTTTACGTAAATCATCATGGTTCATGTTGCATCAGGAGAGCTTTCAAGCGGTATTGGATCTAGTATGCACAAGGCGGATGAGGAGGTGTAGAATTCAAAGCAACTGCTTCTGCATTTATTCTAGGTATGTTGCGAACAAATGCTGCATGCATTTCCTGAGCTTCGGCGGCTTCCGAGATGAAAGGAGACTTTTGAGTCGATGAAGTTTTGAGACGATGTAATTTCCAATAGGTTACACAAAATTTGCGTAAGTTGAAAACAAATTAACTGAAATAAGTTTTTGAAATTAATAAACCCATTATTTGTCTCTCTCGATTTATCTTCATAAACGCTGTGAAACCTGTCTTCAGCAAAATCGTTCATTACATGTGTTTTATTAACACCCAGGAGCACAAAGCATTCGTACATCCCACGAGACCTACCCTACACGAATTATCCTTTAGACTAGCAGATTTCCGAGTTAAACGCTGCGTGTGCGTTGATGATAACACATTTTTTGAGTAATGAGCATATGTCCTGTGTGACATATTGCAGCTTTAAATGACAATGAGGCGTAGCGAGCATCCTTGCGAACTAAACACAATCGACGCCATAGAGTCACGCTTTCATAATCCACGATATTTCGCTTTTGTATTTTGAACTTCCAATACGAGAAAAAAACAGCTTTATATGACAGGGTATAAAAGAAACAGAAGTATCTACTTTAGGTGATATATTTATTGCGAATTTACGAAACATCTTGTGCCTTGCACGTCTGACTCAAAAAAGAGGCAATATGGCCGTGGATTTCTTGTGTTTGCGGGAGGTTCAATTTGTAACTACTATAATTCCTTCTGATTTATTAACGGTGATGTTTGTGAAGTTTTTGCCTTATTTTTCGCTTAAACCGAAGTGTTTAAGCGGATACAGTAAACAAATTACAGACCATCACTCATAAAGTAGTTTTTTCTTAAGCTTTTACGATGATACCAGACATTGTAAAAGTCTTGATGTTGAAAATCGTGACATTTAAAATGTGTGTGCTTTAATTCCTTTTACTTAAATGAGCACTAACTTTTTATAGGTGCAATGCACATCTCAAAGGTCTTAAAACTTAGACTTTAACTTTGAAAACCCTTTTCTCATCACAGTCATCACAACTGACTTTTAAGCAAAGCACTCCTTTACACATTTACACAAGTCATTAGTTGTGGCTTTTAAGCAGTACCTAACTTCCGATGTAAATATTTTTCAAAAATTTGATACAATTTATGGAATAAAATGTGAGTGCTTTAATGACGCTGTTGAAAAGCTTAAATTTCGAAATATAAACTATGAAAAAAACCTTAAATAATCAATACAAGACAATACCAAAAATTTGAGAAAAAATAATTTTACTTTACATTTTTATTAACAATCTTAATAAAAATTAAATTCGCTGTAAATACTACAGCGGTGCTCAAATGGTTAGTAAAACACTAATTTGGTTGTTTGTATTCTTAAATGAAAATACATACAAGTATTCACGTTCCTAAGTAAAGTGTATTATAATGAGATTAATTACATAAATCCCAGTACTTTAACATTAACATGTGTGAAAATAATTCAATAATTACTTACTATGTTACTAATTTGTTTGCAACAAATTACTGGAAACTAATTGAAATCAAAACTTTGCAAATTAATCGAGTTGTTTACCGCGTAATAATTTATGTGTACCTACTATAATTAATTACTATAATTACTATTTATGCAACAAGTTGCAAAATGAGCGTGTTTTTCACAAGACGTGAGTTGTGTGCAAAAATAGCCATTTTGCACCGTGTTTTATGCAAGGTTTTTTACAATTTGGTTGTGAAAAGTTTGGCATCAAATTCGAATTTTAAATCTGTGATTTCAATAATTTTCCAAAATCATACTAGTGTCGGTGCGTTACTATGAAAATAGTGTTATTTTTGCCTATTTTAATACTAGTGATAAAATAATGTGATATTTTATAACTAGTGATAAAATTAAGATTTGACAATTAAAATGGCATATCACAACGGTTGCTTTTCACAACCAAATTGAAAAAAATATTTTTGCATTATTTATGTTTTGTTTATTTATTACGAGATTTTGTTGTGTGCTTTTATTGAATATATTTTTTAAAGCAGGTAAATATTGGCTAACCTTTGTTATTACAAAATTACAAATTTGAAATAAAACACCAAAAAACAAAAACAAAAAACTTGAAAATGATGCTATAATTCTTCATTTGTAACTGTTAGACAAAGAGAGAGTGATATCAATTTTCACTGTAGAAATAAGAAAGAAAGATAGCAGGCACTCAATTAGTGCTTCTGAATCTAATTACTTAAACTACTAATATCCATACATGTTTTTATTGAAAAGCCTACTTCACAGAAGCAAAGTAAGGAAATAGCAAAAAATTGCTGTTTTCTTAATAGCAGTACGACATAAAACTTTTAAACTTACTTGCACAAATACTTATAAAGTTGTCAAATGAAATTAGCGTAATTTAAATACAAATTTGGTAGAAAGTTAACACTGTCATGAGCTAATTAAGGAACAGTTTAGTTTTTATGATTATTACTTCTTTTCAAAAATCTGCTTCTTTTCAATTAGCCCATAGGTACTTCATAGAAATCCGGACTTTTGTAATAAAGATCTAGATAGTCTTTTTTTGTCTAAAAGTCAGTTTTAGCTGATATAATTCATTAAATTAATTACAAAACATTTTTCTTTACTTATGAATCCATTTGTTTGCTTTAAAAAAATCGAGAATTTTACATTAGTGTCATCCTCACCAGTAATTCTACATGCAAACGAATTTGCAACATACATTAACTGAATGAAGTTTATAATAAATAATGTATCCGTGTAATTTTAACCGTGCAAGCTTTTACCTTTCACGACCAAAAATCAAATTTTTTAAATATAGCTTTCCCAGCCCCGGTTAGTGTCAGAGTCAATTTATCAACATGTTCGATCCATATGAAAATTCATGGATTTTTTTCCAGTATAAAGCGCTCAATTAAGCCAAAGTTTAACAAGTCGTTTCCAAGCAAAACGCTTTACCCACAAAAACCACCTATTTTATTTCCCTCGATAGGCAATGCAAATGGATTCATTGAAAGTGACGACCGTGAGGATAATGGGAAAGGGTGTGTCTCGGCCTATTCAGGACTATGAGGCACCAACACAGTCTACCACGTCAAATTGATGGATGGATATGCGTTTTATCCTTTTGCTCCGCTCCTATGACCTCGCCAACGTCCTTATGTCTATTAAAGGATAACGGAGTAGTGATCGACCGGTATTGGGGCTTATAGTAAACAGATAGGACAATGATCCTTCAAATGCATTCTCATTTTAAAACAGTGCACTCGAATTGAGTTTAGTTTCCCCTGACCTAACATAACTTGACATTTAAACCTAAATCCATATTTAACCCACCCGAAGCTGCATCTACAAATTTTCCAACCACAGACCACAACCATATTTGATCTATAGTCCTGCAGCCTTACACTTTAAATTTCTCATCACATTTTGGTCTTCAAATTATAGATTTATCAAGTACAAAAACACCGCAAGCAATGTTCGGAAAACATCTGATTACATAGACGTTAAGAGCAGACTTTTTATTCACCGATAAAATTGTGACGATGTTCCTGACTGCATACAAATGGACCAATCACGATTCTGAGTTAATTTGTTTAAAATCACAGACTTTGACAATTACCATTTGAGGTTTTGAATTTCAATTGATTATAATTATGTAACATATAAGTACCCTGTGGCTTTGATAATTTACTAATAATTGTGTAGTGCAACATTGATCGAGAGGAGAGAATTTCAATAATGTCGCTGATTAAGACACCTTTCAGAGAGGGTTTTCTACAGTTTATAAATTAATATGAATGCAGAAATTTTACAACTAAATTATTATTATTTTTAATTAAAGTAGGATTAAAGAAACAGTTTATATAAATCATAATTTCTTTTATTTCTATTGATTTTAACAAAAAAAAATTAAAACAATTCAATTTAGAGATAATGTAATTCAAGAGTTAATTAACACAAAGTTTCCAACTAATTTGTATAATTTCTTTTAGGCATTTTGACTTTTAAGGCTTACATTTTGTAATTATTTATATACAGAATTTACAATTTCGAAAATATTTTGAGGATTTAACCAATTTTTATGTTTTTAATTTTAATAAACTTAAGCTCTTGTGCTCATTGAAATAAAAACTCTTCTAACAGTGTCCAGAAACACTACAAAGTCCTCTACAATCTACAAATTCATGCAATTTTTTGCTTTGATGTTTCCGATTCGCATTCACATTCTTTGAAGTAAAATTTTATTGAACTTTTATGCAGTATAATGAAGTTTACGTCTGTGGCATCCGAATGGATATTTCCCCGAGTGATGCCCGAGATGGACTTTTTGAAAACATGTACTACAAAGTTTTATTGATAAAAAACTTCCGGACCGTTGTTTCATTTAGATCAAACTCTCAATATCAGTATGAAGGGGAAAGTTGCGAAAATAATTTAAAACAAATGAAGCGAAAATTGACACCGTCTTTCAGGCTTTACTTATCACTTATTTAAAACCTGAAGTTTAAAGTTTGAACTCCATTAACTGCGAGTTAAATGAAAATCGAAAGCACAATTGTTAGGATATTGACGGAGCAATAATCTCTTGTTTCAGGATTTCGTGCAGAATTTGTCCATTTTATCTCGAGGTTCGCTAGACGAGAAACTGCGCTGGGCTTTCACCTTATATGATATTAATGGAGATGGGTGCATAACGCGGGAGGAAATGACGGACATTGTTAGTGCGATATATGATTTGATGGGAAAGGTTGCGGAACCTTGTGTTGATGAAGACACCGTTAAGGAAAAAGTCGACAGGATATTTCAGGTGAAATTGTCGCAAGCGAAATAAATCTTACTCTTGATTGGATTTTCCTAAAAAAAGAGCGACTTGCCCGAATAAACCGATGTCTTTTGGGAGTGTGCTTTGTGTCAATAACAACTTGTATGTGAGGGTCAAAGAAACGAGACCTTTACAACAAGGAATCGAATTACTGGATGCTCTCAATAATCTCGTATACTTCTGAGTTTAGAAAAAAACTTTTTTAAACTATTTTGTTGCAATTTGTATGAACGGAATGAAAGCTAAATATATCTATTTGCTTAATTTCTAGGCGACCAGTATGTCGTGCTAAAAAAGTCATTCGTTACATTTATTAATTACTTAGTTCTATGACGCTTCACAGTGGCGTGGCGAGGCGGGGGTTTTGGGGGTTAAAACCCTCCCAGAACAAAATCAGACAAAATTATAAAATAAAATTAAAAAAAAATAAAATTGTATTTTAGAAACAACCAAATTAAACATACAAATTTTGGAATTTCGGCAAAACTGTACCTCAAACGTTAAATTTGTTATGCATACAAAATGTTCCGAGAAATCGATTGGCGTCGAGAAAATTGCAAAATTGTTGATCGTTTAGGAGTTATAGTTAAATTAATATTTTGCATATTTTTTATTTTATCAGCAATTTTCTCAATAACTATATAACGTAGGGGCAAGTGGAAAAAGGTCTTAAGTAACATTTTTTTTTAAAGTCCAGTTTGATGTGGATGAAGGATTTAAGTACATGATGCGACTTGTGGCATCATCATTTGGCTCTATCTCTCAAATCAAAGCAAAGCAGATAGACTGAATAAAATGTAGCAAAAGCTTTTACTATAGTTTTGTGTCTTTCTTTCTCATAAAATCTAAATTTCGTCTATCTTTTACTATTATAAGTAGAAGCATTTACTTAACTTTATTCATATGTGTGTTAGAAAGGGCCATATCGCAATAATAAACAGTTAATTTTACTAAAATCCAATTATCTCATAAATATGTTTTTGTAACTTAACACCTTCTTTCACTTGCCCCTTCAATTATCTTTTCCTTTATACGATAAAAAATTAAATTTGCTTTCCAATAGCTTTCCAACGGTAGCAAACAAAAAGGAGTAGCGTCAATAATTCCAAAGTTATTAGCAATAAACCGCTCCGAGTTTCGAAAATCGCCCAAAATTTTTACAAAAATCGAAAAATTCAAAACTTTGGAATTGAACTATTTGCACTCTTAAGTCAAGACACTTAAAAAAGTACAAAAACGTTGTAAAAATGCAAGAAATAAATTTTTGACAAATTTTGTGTTTGAATGAATATATATTGAATTGAAACATTGAGACTGTCGGTACCGACAGTACTAATTCAAATTCAAATTAGCGATAAAAGATGGCAGATGCATAAAAGCGGAATTTTAAAATATGCGCACATGTTCTAATAAGTATACCTAATAAGAGAGCGCATAAGAACAAATGAGAATGTATAATAAGAAAGAGAAAGAGCAAAAGAACAAATAAATGAACAAAGCATAAGTAAGGGAAAGCGCATAAAAAACATAAGAGCTTTGGTGCAACTGAAAACAATTGTTTTTTGGCAACATTTTATGCAATACTTGAGCCATCACTGGCCATAAACTGTCGTTTTTAAGTAGAAAATTTTTGCAATTCAACGTATTTCACCGAAACTAATGCAGTTTAGGCCACTTTTGAGCAATTTGGGTAGAGTATACTTCAAGTGTCAAATTTTTTTTAATTGTCAAGTAGAATCATAAATTTAAAAAGCGCTTAGTGGAAAAAAATAGTATAACAAACGCGTGTTACAACCTCTCACTACTCGTATCACAAGAGAGTATTTGCAACTCTTGTTTTTTAATATACAGAGTGGTTATAAATGATTTTCATCTAGCCAGTTGTGAATTTTCCATGTAAAATAAAAAATGCCGCTTTACGCAAATAAGGGTACCTACTTGTTTCAACTCAAAATTAAAAAATCGCCGTTTTCTAAGCGTCCACTTCGAAAATAGTCTTCAATTATAAACTTGTTTTCTTCCAAAGTATACATTATTATCAATTCTTATTGGTAATAAATTAAAACAATAAATGTTTAATTAACCACAATTTATTATTAATTAATAAGTGACACTAATGACAGAACTAGAGCTTTCAAAAAAGTAGAGCGGCACAAATAAAGTTACATGCAAAAAAATTCCAAAGCTGGCTAGATGAAAATCATTTATAACCACTCTGTACTATACCATCACTGACTATGCATACTGAGAGAAATTGTTGAAGATTAAAGTATTACATCGAAACTAATGCACTTTGAGCAATTCAAGCAATCTGGGTACCGCATATGTCAAATGACAAAATTTTTAACTGTCAAATATAATAATTTAAATATAAATATAAATATAAATAAATATAATACAAATAAAATAATATACAGGGTGCCCCAAAACTCGCGCTCCAGAGAAAAATTTCAAGTAAGATAAGATACCCACCAGGAACATAAAAAAAATATAATTATTTAGTAAAGGTAGAAAAATTTTGCTAATAAAAGGCAGAAATAACATTAAACAGAGTTACAATGTAGGCTACAGCTTCCTTATTTCTTCTTCTAATATTCTGTAGCAAAAAACTTGGAATTTATATTTCCAACAGGAATAAATAGAGTCAAAGTTAAAATTTAAACTCTCATAACTTCGAAATTTTTATAAGTAGGTAGAATTTTTTTAACATTTTTTCCATTATCCTTGTATCTTACTTTACATGGCATTTTTCTCTGGGGCGCGAGTTCTGTCGCACCTGTATAACATAAATAATAAATATGAGTGCCCGAAATTTTTTACATAGGTAAACCCCCCTAAACTCTATACTGGGTGATCGGTCTAAGTCGCCCCAGCGACACCTAAACTTACTTTTTTTTTCAAAAACTGCATTTTCAAATAATACTATTCATTCCTGGCTTTCTTAGTAAATGCATCAAATTTTTTTGGCACATCCGGTGTGGCTGGAAATGCTACCAAATTTAGTTTTTCAAATGGAACACCTATGTTTTTTGCTCGAAACAATAATAATTGGCATGAAAAATACGGTAAACACAATACATTTTACTTTACATAATGCACTCAGAAAACAATTTAAATTTTAAAATGTTATTAGCAAATTTTGCAAGGTAGGCGGATTTTACTTGTTGAAGGTATTCATGCAGAAAGCAATATGTTTGATACCGTTTAATTGTTATTTTAACAAAGCCTAATTTGTCAATAAATCTTATTGAAATTTTTAATAATGGGTGATAATAATTACGACGAATTGGTAGATCAGCTTGAAGTGTTTTTTAAGTGCAATAAAATTAGACCGGAAACTGAAAGACAGTATAGAGAAAAATATTCGAATATAAAAATAATCGAATTGAAAAACAACTGAAACGAATAGGTTCGCTTCTTAAAACTAAAAAACCTATGGTTCTTAGTAAAGAACAAGAAAATGGAAATCTGAATGTTCTGTTATCAGTCGATGAAAATCCAAGAGTTTTCATAAGAGAACTCGCTCATCAACTGACAAATTAGATTTGTACAACCAACAATTAAACTGTATCCAAGCATTTTTTTATTCACACCTTTCTTTTAAAATTAAAAATCAGGCTACGTGACCAATTTCCTTATAAAATTCTAAGATTTAAGATGTTTTCTGATTGCATTGTGTTACGCAAAATGTAATAAATAGTGGTTTACCGTATTTTTCATGCCAATTCTTCTTGTTTCGAGAAAAAAACATAGGTTTTCTATTTGGAAAACTAAATTTGGTAGCATTTCCGGCAACACCGGATGTTTTTTTGATTTGATACATTTATTAAGAAAGCCAAGAATTAATATTATTACTTAAATATTTACTTTTTGAAAAAAAGAAGTAAGTTTAGGTGTTATCAGCCGGGACCGAACACCCTGTATCTGCCTGCACCACTGACGCTTCAAAACCTGTTTTATGTTATCTTTTTAAATAAGACAACAATTTCGCTTTGTTTGAAGAATGAGACAAATGTTGGATTTTATTGATTTGCATTCGCTATAGTCAGTCCATGTGTATTCGAAACAAAGAGGAGTTTATTCATTGTGACAAAGTTATCAGTTTAAAACTTTGCCGAAAGTTGTAGCTGAGCATTACTGATACAAAGCCGATTCCCGGAGGATCAGCCGTCGGATATATTTTAACAATTTTTTGATAAAAGAAGTAGAAAACAACATTTTATGGCCCGCTTGTGCCCCAGCCGTTCATTTTCAACGACAACCTTGTCCTCTCGAGAAAACAAAATGCATTTCGAACACGACTAAAATAATATCGTCAAATACTATTAAGTCCAGTTTCTGGCAATAGAACGTTCTGGAATTATTCAACAAGAGTGGTCCGATCTTAGCGATTATTATAAACAACATGGGCATTGCCGATAACCGCCCCCCATCTCATAAAATTTTACGATTGCAGAAAATGGACAAGAACAAGGACGGCGTCGTCACCCTGGATGAATTTCTTGAGTGCTGCAGAAAAGATGAAGATATCTCTTCTTCCATGGCCGTTTTCGATTCATCGATATGACGTTCACCAGTCGGCGTTCGTCCACCTCCCTCTTGGACATGAACGAATGTCGACCGCGATTCAATGACAATGACCAACGTAATTAAATTATTTAAAACAGTGATAAATTATCAACAAAACTATTTAAGAAAAAGCCAGCAAGCTACGGTGTGGGACGAATAAAAGCTAAAGCGATTTGACGTGTCCGGTGGTAATTGTGGGATTTGCGGATGATTACGGTTCGTTTTACACCGTAAGTTTGTATATTTATACCAAATTTCTTACAGTTTTTATAAAAAAGGATGTAGATAAAATAATATATTTTAAATATATAGAAATTAAACTTCAGATAAATATAGCATAGATAAAAATACTGAAACAAATACCTACATTATTTAAGCAGACACTTATTTATTAACATTGTGCTGGGGCAATTACTCAAAAAATATGCTGCTGTAACTGATTGCTAAATGCGTTTTCGCTAAACGCCCCTTGATCTGAAACGGGATTAGATTACTTAACCCTCTGGGTTTTTTCAACTGTCATTAGCTACAATTTATATAGGAAAAACTTCAAAATTGCATGTGATTTATTTTAACTATTTTAACAAACACCAGTGGTTTTGAATTTATCTGCGACAATTTAAATTTGTTATTGAAACATAGATATTTTTATATTAACCATGTAATACCAACAAAATTGTGGAATTGGGTATAAAGCTTTTAAAAGTTTCCCCAAATTTTGGGTACTTATTTGGGAAACATCTTAGCGATATAAATAAAGCGACGATATCATTATTCACCTAAGATGCTAGTGAGCCATATTCGTTAGACATATCTGTATGTCATTATATACCTACCTAAATTCTAGATTATATTATTGTTGATATATGTAAGACTGTTCAATGTACTAGGATCTAAATGTGTGATGTATGTTAGTCAAAAGATTGACAATATTTTGGTTAGAAAAACCTAAATTACGTAGCTTTTTTATTACAAAAGTTATTTTATAATGGAGCGTCTATGGTGCTATGTACCGAAATTGATAAGGATAATGTTCTTCTATGTTATTAATGTTTATCATTTTTGTATATGTTATTTAATGGGTAAAAATTAGTGCTGTGCCAAATACGAATGTTTTAAAACAAGCTGCAAGGCGCAGATTACATTTATTTCTAGTTAAGCTTAATGTTACCAAAATATGGTCGAGATAATTCACAAATATTCCTATCCTCATCCTAATCACTGTTTATATTTGTATAGAATAGTATAAGGCCCATTTTAATGTTACGTATCTCAAAAACTCATTGTTATTTGTAAATATGACAAGTCAGGAGATCTATTATGTACCCATTTTTAATGTTATAAACATATTACAAATCCCTTATCGTGTTTTTTTTTTTAGTTATTTATGTATCATGGTAATAAACAACTACTTTAGTTTCAAATGTATAGGTAACGTAGTTAATTTCGAATTAATGTCAGAGGCGACCGAAGGGATACCGAAACGATATTATTTATTCCAGAGATGCATCCAAAACTTTCCTCTCAACAGACTAAATTAATAATAACATAAGGACATGATAATTTGTTAAATAATGTCAACTAATTTGTCAAAATATTCAGTTTATTTAATTGCAATTTTAAAAGTAAAAATCAGTACCTATCAAGAAGTTTTTTTATTTAGAAGTTTGCGCTTCGACTTCATTGCTCACTAGGTAAAAAACACAAATAAAAAATTCAATTCATACAATTTCAGTTTAATTTAAAAGTAAAAATCTGTATTTCATTAATTTTATTCCTAAGGGAACAAAGTATCATATTATGTTATTGTTAGTAAAAAACAAGAGACTAATTATCTGCAACCAATTATACAGTTGACAAGGCTAGCTGGGCAACTGTGTTTTTCGAGCTGTCGCTCACTCGGCCTGTAAATACAAGAAATTTATTTGTCATGCGTCAAATTATTGACAAATCTAATTTTGGGGTTAGGTCGAGAAAAGGGGCGATTTGTTGATAAGAAAATGAGTGAAAGTAGCAGCGACGAAGGTAATACCACATTCCAGTTATACAAAGATCGTAGAGAATGGAAAGATGTGACTCCCGTGCCTCAGGATGATGGGGATCAACCAGTAGTTGCTATTGATTACACTGAGCAGTGTAAGTTTGGTGAACATAAGCTCAACTTTATAACTACAAAAGCTTTCAGTTAAGGACGTTTTTGATTATTTCCGAGCTGTTTTGCAAAGTGGAGAGAAATCAGAACGAGCGCTTAATCTTACAAAGGACGCTGCAGCCCTAAATCCTGCAAATTACACAGTGTGGCAGTACAGGTAACTGTAATTTTTTTCTCGATTTGGGGGGATAATTTTCATATTTGAGGCGTGAAATTTTGAAAGCATTAAATAAGGATTTGAACGAGGAAATGAACTTTATCGAGAAGATTATTGTTTATAATCAACCTAAAAATTATCAGGTTTGGCATCATAGGAAGGTTCTTGTGGAATGGTTACAGGATCCCTCAAAGGAGAAGTACTTGACTGAAACTGTTCTAGCAAAAGATGCAAAAAATTATCATGCCTGGCAGCACAGGCAGTGGATAATCAAAACTTTTAAGTATGTTATTCACATTGTTTTAATTCACTTAATGATTAAATAATTTTTATTTATTAATAGTTTGTATGATGGAGAGCTTGAGTATATTGATAGTCTTATTTCTGATGATATCAGGAATAATTCAGCTTGGAATCAAAGATATTTTGTAGTTATGGGCACAACCGGATTCACAGAGGAAGTCTTAAATAGAGAAGTTGATTATGCTTTATCCAATATTAAAGTTGTAACAGAAAACGAAAGTGCTTGGAACTATTTAAGAGGGTATTGACGCTATAAGCAAATGCAATAATTGCCTTATTAATCTTTTATTTTTAGCGTTTTATTGCATGATAAGTGTGGACTTAGTCGCAACAAAAAAGTCACTGATTTTTGTGAAGAATTATACAACTCAGGAAATAGGTCTCCATTTTTATTAGCTCTACTTGTTGACATGTGTTCAGAACAAGTTTCTCAAGGCAATGAAGATCCACTTTACAATTTAGAAAGAGCCAAAAACTTATGTAACGAACTTGCGGAAAAATATGATACAGTCAGAGCCAAATATTGGCAATTTATGGCTGAAACCATTGAGAAGAAAAGCAAGAAAGAAGAATCACAAGTAGAAGCAGAAAACTAAAATAAAGTGGAAGAAAAAATTTCTGTGATGTTTACTTAATTTGTAACTTTTGTACGTGTCAATGTTTCCATAATTGTATTTTTTTTCAAAGTTTAAATACAAATCGAAATATGCCACAATGAACGTCCTCTTTTTGTAGACAGAAATAACTAAAATTTTGCATCACCATCCGAATCCCTCATGAAAACCTAAATTACACTTTACGAATTTTTAAAATAGCTGATAGATTATTGTGAAATAAAATAAAAATCGTAACTCTATTTTTTATTATTTCTTAAAACGTACAATTTGTTGAATGACATTTGGCTCGAGTTTCTTCGGTTAAGAGCCTTACTTCTCGTCTCAATCACATCAAATTTCTACCGAAAATGGTGAGGTTGATCACACCACAAGACTCGGGCTATCTGTTCAAGAAGTCCGAGGCAATAATTTTTAATAATTACGCCTTAAAACCATAGAAAAATTCGAGGTGGACAGGAATTCATTTCAATTATAAACCATAGATGTTTTATTTACTTTAATAAGATATGTAAATACAAAATAAATTTGTATCTGGCATTAAAAAATATGCATAAACTCTCATTCAGAACTAATAAAATTTGATGTACACACTATATGTATACCTAATAAAATATTGGACCATAAGTGTTTAAAAATTATGACACAAAATCATATAACAAAAATATTTTCATTAAAATACTGATTGCAATTTTAAAAAAATCAAGACCAAAATTACAACATGCAGCAGAAAAAACGAGATCATGTTTTTGGCTAAGGTTCCAATGAAACTTGCGCAAATGGCTACCCTATACATGAGCTGCCCCTATTAATAGACTGAACCCATTTCCATACATCCAAAAAATTTACTTGACTTTTATTTACAAAAGAGGAGTATGCGTAGTCCCTTCACCCGTTAAAGTGTCAGTAAGGTAAGTAATTTTAAGCACACGTGCAAGAAATTGTTTTTCAGCCGGCGTATTTACCGTCCAAGCCATCACCCTCAGTCCCCTATTGCGCCAATTGAAGACCGCCCGTCTAAAAATAACACAATTCTAAAGTCCGTCAAAGTTAAATTTTTCCAATTTAATTTGATGGAGAAAATGCAACTTTAACCAACCTCAGCACAAGCAATTTCCTTACCCATTGACGGCATCCTTATGTAGTAAAATAACCGACAATCCTAGAAGATAGTAAGTGATTCTCGGTAAAGCCCATTCGTGTAGCAAATCTAAGAAAACTAAGAAGAAATGTTTGTACCAAACTTTGGAGCGCCGAATGCCAGGCCCCACCGGATAGTTAAATGAGTCATAAGCAAATGCGTCAGATCTCCAAGCGAGGGAACAAACGATTTTTGGGTTGCCTTTTCTGATCTAAAACCGTTTTAGTAATGTTGGTTGAAGGGGCGCAACTGCGACTTACAAGATAGATTAATATGGGGTTAAAAGAGGAGACTACGGCTCTTGAGTACAGGTCAGGGTAGCGGTCGAAAAGGTCGTGAATTATTTTAACAAACTGATTAAAAACAAATCATAAAATCGCAAAAATCGCCAGATAAGTGTTAGTTATACCTTTCTATTATTGTCTTTAATATCAATAAACATCCTTTGGCCTGAAGCTAGAAGCTGAGTTACGGTTTGTTCTAATGTGGGGATATTAGTTTTAGCAAATCTGTCCCTGTTAAAAATTGATTAAAGAAAAGCCGATCTAAGCTTAAATCGCTAAAACTCGAACTTACTTATACAAATGCTTTACTGATATGTCAATATTGGACAAATCTGCCCACTTGTGTTCCGCGATGACCAAATTAGAATCACTCATCCTCTCTACAGAATTATCATGAAAGACAACAGGAACATCATCTTTGGTCAAAGTAACATCAAATTCAATCGCGTCGCACCCTTTTTCGTGACACTAAAACCACCAATTATCCCCAAGTAATGTCTGTTAAACCTACCATTTTAAAAGCTGCGAGACTGTTTTCAGGAGCATCCAATCCGGCCCCTCTATGCGCCACTGTCTTCATAACGTAAGCATCATCATTGGAAGCAACTGCAGGGTCTTTACCTAAAATTGCCTCAACTGTCTCGGGACTAGGGGGTGGGACACGGAGGAAATAAACGACACACACTAAGAGCAATACTAGAATTAGCCCAAATGGTAAAATTGTTTTAATGACTTCTGTGAGTAAGCTCCAGGAGCCGTAAAATGCCGCGACAATGATAAGGGATGAAAAGAACAGGTTGATAACGGGGGAGTGTTTCATATTTGAGGTTAGGTGGGATTATGTAATGATTATCACTGTAAGGCACATGAAGGAGAGGAAAATTTGGAAAGTTGTGAAGAGGTTTTCGGATTGTTTAAATGTTGATAAGAAAACAATGCCCACTGTTATCACCCACCCCCACAATGACACGAACGTTTGACAAGTGACGTGCGCACGCCGCGCGAGCCAAATCTTACAACCGACAAATTTGACAACGTCCACCGTCCACTTGCCCAATCCGATTGTGGTTCAGTCTCATAGTGGCCAAAAATTCACAAAATAAATGTCAATTTTTTTTTTGATAGATTGAATTTTTTTAACATTTTTTCCATGTTCCTGGTATCTTATCGTACTTAACATTTTTCTTTGGAACTCGAGTTCTGACACATCCTGTCTAATAAAGTCGCGGTCGATTTATAGTGGCCATTTCGCTGTGTAAATTTGTAAAAATTGAATTCTGTAAATCTGACTTTAAACATCCAATTGTTTTTTTAGGGACAAATCTATCAAAGTGGCAATTCTGAAAAAGTCGTTTTAGAATACTTCACATATAAAATCTACTGCGCCTGTCACAATTGTTCACACTATTTAGTTAATTCTGCTGCCAACGTGGACACTACCCATACACTAGAGGTCGCGAGCTAGGGGCTGCCAACTTTACAATAAATTACATGGTCACTATGAATTCTTGGTATGGAAACAATAAACAAAAAACACGATTAAACCCATCACACCAAACTTTTATTTCACGACCACTTTGTGGTTGAAATGCGTCGTGTTTGGAATAAAAGTTTGGTGTGACGGGTTTATGTCCGGTTTCTAGAACGATTTAGCATTAGATAAATTTTATCGGTTCGATAGTAGTAGTACTCATCTGATTGGTGTTTCTATAGCAATTATGGAACCGATAAACTTTATCTAAAGATAAACCGTTTCAGAAACCGACCCTCAACTTTCTACTAAGCTATATTTGCATTATGAGAAATTAAAAAAAAAAATCTTTTACATTTCTCAGATTCATCTAATCCGATTTGCGGTAATTTAGCACACGGGCAAATTATCGATAATTTGAAAGATTTTATTGGCTTAAATTTTGTGAGAGAAATAGTTGGTAAAAATTAGTGTTTGGACGCACCAGAACGGTATCCCGTAGGCAATCTGATGCATCTTGACGTCATGTGAGGTAAATCGGAGGGTTGTTTAATCGTATGACAAAAAATCAGTTTGTTGAGTAAACAAGTGTAAAAGGCGCAAAGAATGGTGAAGGTGGAATTGGGTAATATTCGAATTACTTTGTGAAATTGCGAATGGCGGGATTACGCAGTCTTTTAGAATAAAACTCTTACGAAATGGGTTTTTGTGGATCTTGCCGTTTTTTAGGGAATTATTACAATAACTAGTCAGTTTTAGCCAAGCTCCTGTACGAGTTACTTGAAATGTATTAATTGTCCGGATACATTATTACTTATTTGGCGGTTCAGTGCGAAAGACATTTAGTAGTTTGCGATGTTTAAAACTTTGAGTGATTAGTGGGTGCCAGTAGGAGGAATCCTCTAGGAAATAGAGGAAACAATTGTACTACAAAGATCCGGATTAAAGGGTAAGTTAACAATACATTTTCAGTTTTTAGAAAAATTAAGTACTTATGCAACACATTAATTGTTTCTACTAATGCTGGTAAAGTTAAAGGGATAAACGATATTTACGAGTAACTCAGCAAAATGTTCAGTGTTATTCAGCATTTATTGTGTTAGTTGTTATTAAAAGTACAACAAGTGGTGTAAAAATAGTTATTTGAGGTGCAATTTATATTAAATCTTATTTTATATTTATTATTCTAGTGGTTGTTCTATAATTTACAGCATTAAAATTTAAAAATCTAAGTAAATAGAAAATAGAGTGTTCCGTTTTCATTGTTACAAATTTAAACAGGTGATAGATAATCAAATTTTAATGAACATGTATCGAAAAATATTATATAAGGGAGCTACATCTCCTGAAAGGGGTACATTTTTTAATAAATTTTTTTCAATATTTCAGCAACCATTGTAGATAAAATTACAAAATTTGATACAACTGATAATCTTTATACACCCAAACAAATTCTAATATAAAATGTGAAAATTTTTACTCAGGGGCATCGCAATCTGGGGAGGTTTAGGGTAAAAGTACCCTAAGTATTTTGGCTGTTGGTTCTTGGCACTTTCAGCCACACAAATGTCATAGTCAAATAAATGTCATAGGCAGGGTTGATCAACAGGCATAGGCAAATAAGTTTATGAAAAACATACAACCAAGAGACGGCGCCACTTGCTTTTATTTACAGATTTCTGTAAATTACAACAAACAGTAGTAAACAGAAACTACTAGAGCCATCTTTTGGTTGTATGTTTTGTTTTAAATTTATCTAAAAAAATACAGAATATAAAGCAATCTTTGGATATTTGGCGCAAAATATCAAAAAACACTTTTCAATCAACTTTCACTAGTAATGTTCAAACAATTTCCCAGTTAATTTTTCCCCTTCGAGTTCCAATTATTTGTTACATACTTTGTCCTTGGTATGCTCTTTTTATTGTGTGTTTAAATTTTGTTTGGTTTCGTTTTTTAGTATCTACTTTTAAGGTAGAATTTTTC